TGCTGAAGCTAGATATGTTTTTTACATCTGAATCAAGAAAGCTGGAAACAAAGATACGGCCTAAGTCGATTCTCGTTCCAAGCTTTTAAATGGTATGTCGCCTGATGAAACATAATGCTTTCCTGAGTCAAAAAAGTTTCTATTGGATGACCTTTCAGAGCCTAAGCATTGAAAAAATCTTCATATTGCACCCTCTGTACTACTTATTTTCCTTCTTTTCATTCCCATTAGGCATGTAAGCTTGCGTTAGCATTCTTAATGCTCAGTTACCCCCTTCAATTTTCTGGGTCAGAATAGCCAAAACCCCCTTCACCTGGAGGGGACCCTCCTCCCCCTATCGCACCTATGGTCGGGATCCAATCATAGCATTGCGGCGGGCAGCCTCCAATGGTGAGAAGGAAGTTGCCAACTCGTCCGAGTGCGTGTAGGATTGGCTTGCGCGTACAAATTTGAGAGCGATTTTCTCGACAGGGAAATCATGCTGTGCAACCGGGATTGCACTGTTTTCATACTTGGGCGATAAGGAACCTACTGCGTTAAGATCCTGGGTTGCCAAGTTTTGCCGATCCACTGCCTTTAACCCCGCTTCAAGTTTGAAGTCCTGCTAACAGGGGCTGGCACCAGCTGGGTAGGGGAACGAAAGCCGCCAGTTTGAGCCGCCTTTCGCGGCCAACTAGTCCTTTCGCAGTGTTGTTGCATGTCGTCCCAGGACCAGCAGTCCGCGAAGGCGGTCCAACCTGGCGGCTTTCGTTCCCCTACCCGCACCAGCTGGCACGGGGCAAGGGTGGATATCGTTTTTGGGTCAAAAAGCAAAGGGGATATCGTTTTTGTCATAAATTGCGGACAAATTGCGACTTTTTTTTAGTCGGTTTCGCTTTTTGAAGGATTTTCAGGGATTTTGGGGGTCAAAGATGACTTTGTAAAAATTAGCAAATTTCAAGGGGGACTTCGTTTTGAAAATTTCCTGGTGCCAACTCGTGCCGAGCCCTGCCTGCCAATCAAAAATGGAAGCGGGGGTAGAAAAAATAAGCCCAAAATGAGATAATCTGGAAAAAAACCTGAACCCCCGAAAACAGCCAAAATTTTCCGAGTCACGCCACTCAAAATTGCATGCGAGCGGCTGCAGCGCATGCAAAGACAGTTCTGGTACACTGCGAGAACTGTGCTGCAACTGCTCCAGGACATCCAAATCATATGAACGCGGCGTGAGTACCGATGCCACCGCAGTTGAGTTGTAGAATTCCGCAGTAACTCTGCGTCTCAGCCTTGAAGCGGGAACTGTCCAATTTCAAATTTTTAAAGCTTTTGGAAACGCATGTTTTCGCCGTTTTCGCGCTTCTAATTTAGATTTTCGACCCTAGCGTTGCGCATAACCCCAATAAGTGGATTTTCTGGAAATCGAGTTTCTGCCCGTACACTGCCTTTGAACTCACTTTGGCAAATATCGCGTTACTTCGACCAGTCCTTAGCGTCATAGGCAGCGTTAACAATTCCTAAACAGCCTCGTTTGGTAACGTCAGGCCAGCACAAAAACTCAACATTAGAAACCTGAACTTGTGACGAATGAACTCGAGGTGATACGTTTACGATAGATGATGAAACTATAATAAGTTGCTGATCGAAAATGAAAGAGGAACATCGACTCGAAAGCTGTGAAAAGCGTGAAAATCTTATAGAAAAGACACAAATGCTACGACAAACTATTATGTCACAAATGATCTTGTCCATATCATCGTTTTTAGCTCAGTTGACCAGTTACTGATTGCTTTTTCGAAGAAGCAGCTTTTACTATCTACACTAATCAAAATAAGTTCATTGCCACACGAAAAATTTCGGAATTTTCTGCTGAAATTACTCTTTTTTTAGAGAAACTATGCTCAATCTTGTTTGTTAAACAGTATGTAAGCTGTGCATCCTACAGCAGCCGATTTTTTGCTTTTTTTGTGCGTAGTTTTCGTCAAGATCCGCCCTAAAGAGACTACTAGGAGATTCTTCTGATTCCAAATCTATTTTCACTCTTCTTTCTTACTGATGATAGAACCAGCATGTGACGTTTTAAGTATCAAAGATTTCATGACCGAAACATAATGAGACATAGCGGAACTTGCTCGTACAGTGTGTTGATTACAAAGATGCAGTATATAAGTGAGGGGAGCTTGCGCATATCAGTATTGGTTCCTACAACCCACAGCAAAATGAACTTTCTGCTGATAAGTCTTCTGCTTTTTTCCATCCTTGGAGTAAGTCTGGGAAGGATACATTGTAAACCACATTGTACGAAAGTCTGCAAGAATCACCGTGTCAAGGTAAATGCCAATTTCATAATCAGTCGTAAATGTCAGCTCGATAGATTCTTGAGGCAGGCTCAACTGTAAATTGCGAAGATTTAGAAGATGTCTTCTCGCGGCGTTTTTCACATCAATTATTTAGAAATGCCACGGGCGTCCTCCTCGCTGTACATTCATTAATCATCCAGTGTGTCATCAAAAATGCACGCACCGAAGATGCTGAAAAAAGATGTCAAATCGGGAAGATTAAGCTGACTGAATACTCCACATCTCTGCTTTTTACTTGTTGTGGCTTCTTTTCAAAAAGAAGCACAAACTATGCGCTACTACGTAGCTGCAGTTACTGATTGAATAAATATCTGTGTTGTTTATTTTTTGTACGTTCATGCCAATAGACATGGTTGTTAGGGGAGGTGCTAGTTACAGTTGAAACGACCGAAAAATTTCGTCGAAAGAACGAATATTGAATGATCGGTTTCTGAAAAATATTCGAACGAACGAATATTATTCGATCTGTGGTTTTCAGATTATTCGAATTCGAATATTCGAACAATGTTACATTTTAGAATTTAAATGAAGATATGAATAAATGGGGTTGGTCGAATTATCGAATCGACTATTCGAATAATCGAATGATTAAATATGATCGAATATTCGACTATTTGAATACTCGAATAACCATGCCAGTCCAAATATTCGACTATTCAATATATCGAATAATAGTGGCTCAAACATTGGTGGTTTTTTCTTTGTTGCAGTTTTCTGCAAAGTACTCTTAAATCCTTCGCACTTCAGCGTTTCCGTAGGATTGCCGGCGACCGCAAGCAACACGATATCGTTAGACCTAAGCATAGCTCCCGCGATTTCGTCTAATCGCTACTTTCCAAGAGACTTGGCGATTTGCCAGATTATTCAGATTAACCGTGTGCAGGTCTCAGGTGCATAGGCGCGTAATTTCTGTAAATCGTCGCAGAAGCATCAAGTCTGGCGCAAGCATAACGCGCTTACGACTATCTTGAAAATCGTTGCAGTGCCGGATCGCGCAGCGACTAGAATCACGTGAGGTAAGCCTAAGGCAAGGGACATACCTCAAGCGATTTCAGTCGCCACGCGATCTGGCAATTTGCCAGATGTCTTCAAATTCAATACTGGTAGACCTCAAATGCACAGCATGTATAACTTTCGTAGGTTGATAAAATGCCCCATCTTCCGCACATTCAGGAACCCCGTAGGATGAGTTATGGACATTTGGAGTATTGCCAAATCGTGTGGCGACTGAAATCGCGTGAGGTATGCCCAAGGCCTAAGGCCTTAAATTAAGTTTTGCCATAATCGCTGCGATCATCGCTGAGGAACTATGCCCTAGCAGATAACGGCCAGCGATCGGTCCCGCCGGACAGCTAGCATAGCCGGCCGCGAGGGCTCGAGCCGCTAGAGCTGTGGCAGCCACATTAAGACAAGCTGTACCCGATACCTAATTGTATTGCGTGCTTAGCACATCTACGCTTTGCAAAATCAAATTTATAATTGTGTCGTCATGCTGTAGATTATTGAATCCGATTCGAACGTTAATTTCAGCTATTCTTTCAATTACATCTTGCTAACAAATTGCAAAATGTTTGTTTCTGTTTCTGTAAACATGTTTCTGTAAACCCACACCTTGCCTCTTCTTGCGCAAATACATATTTTGAATTTCGAACCTCTGCTAGCTGCAAGACTTAACCATCGACTTAACTGGCCTCGTATGCCATTGTAGCCCTTTCAATGGTCTTGCAGTAATTTTTTTTATGAAGATTATAAATTAAAAAATGATAGGAAGTTGAACGTCATAAATATTTTTTATCAATACAACACAGAATTTGCACATGCGTGATTTAGATACATATTACATTGTATACATCGATCGGAATACAGGAAAAAAAGAAATGAGAGCAAGAGAACGAGGATCCTTTTTTTTTTCAAGAAAAATAAATTTTAGTCAGTCACCAAATCTCACGAATATTGTTAAAACGTTATGGTCAATGCGAGCAGCCCTTTTTTTCCTTTTTTTTCTTCTCGGAAACCTGTTGTGCCAGTCTCAAACATGCATTAATTTTCCAGTATTTACGGTGCAACCTGCGCGTTTATTAGAATTCGCCTCTCAGTGAACTTGGTAGTGCTGAAAAGTAGATGAGCAGTAGCAGATTACTTTACACACTTCTTTTGTTAGCATTCCACTTTATGTGAGGTAATTGCTCCCCTGAAACGGGTGAAAAGAATGGCGCAACTAGTTAACATTTGAAACCTGGTTTTGAGACTGTCTAGAGATTTCTAGACATTTCTGTCATTTTCCGTACGTCCCTGAGCTTGAGCAGAGGTAGATCTCATACAAAAGAGCTATAGACTGCTAATAGAGCAGACGCTGACAAAACTTATAACTTGAAAGGATCTAGAATAATTTATGTACCACTGCTTTGTCTTTCCAGTGCTCCCTCTTTTGAAAAAACAAACTTTGATAGACTAGCAGAAATAGCGGTAGGTTGCATCGAAAATGTTGACAATTGTGCAGTGTATTATATACAAAATTTTGAAAACATAACCGGTCACAAGATGGAGAAGCTATTCGGGCAAAGAAAACACTTTTGGCCTGTAAGATTTGGCAACTGGTGAAAAAAACAAAATACTAAGGTTCAGAATATATTAGCTGCACAATTTTAGGGTCAAGATTGAGTTCTAATCGTAATCATCCGGAATGTTCAAGAACGTTCCAATGGTAGGGAAATGAACGGCACTGAATCCGTCTGTACCACCAGTTCCAGCTGCAGGCACAGCCCAATGAGCACCCCAAGCTATCTGCAAGATCAGAATTCAAGTATTATAGTGTACGTGATTACATTTAGTTAACAAGTCACCTGTCCATTCAGCCAATCCACCCCCACTGATCGAGGTGCATAGTAGAATTTGTTGGCATGGTCACGATTATGAGGATCGTCAGGATTCGGTTCCCATAGACCTTTAACCAGTACGCAATAACTAGCTTTTTTGAACTTTGCCATCTTACCGGGTTTGACGAAAGGACTGCGACTCCTTGGTCGATGCAAAAACACCAGCGCTGTCGGTCAAACCGTCAAATTTCTAAAACTTTGCAACTTTAAAACTGAATCGGAAGTACAGACAAAATCACCTTGAAAGCATTGTCGCTTGCACCATATGCAGCTTCTGACGGAACTACCGGAATGTTTTTAGATTGATGAGCGCTTAAATAGTAAGAAGCAAGTAATGTCCAGTATTCCTGGCCAAGGATTAGAGTTAGCGCCAATTACCGCGGTCGTGGACCTGCGCCGTCTCGAGTCCCGTCCTCTGTTCCATCGCTTGGGCCTGACAGAAGCTTAGCTGGATCCCGAACAATTTTTACAGGTTCAGAAGTAAGCGAATTGATGGCTCTGAAATCTTTTGGACAATAACTGAAGTATAAAGTATTGTGCTACATTGTCCTTCGAAAATCTTCAGGGATTTTGCTCGAAGAAGCGCCAGAAAAGAGTAAAGTTCCTTTGTGATCAAGTTATTGGTACACATCCAGTCAGCGGTAGAGGATTGATGGCTCATCTTACAAGGGAGGGATACTTGGTCGAAGTGACATTTCTACGTGAAACGTAACTATGTTATAGAGCATGCAATGCTGATTTAAATCTGCTTTACTTATCTGCAAAGCGCTTCTGGGAGGAGAGTTACTGCGGAATTCTACAACTCAACTGCGGTGGCATCGGTACTCACGCCGCGTTCATATGATTTGGATGTCCTGGAGCAGTTGCAGCACAGTTCTCGCAGTGTACCAGAACTGTCTTTGCATGCGCTGCAGCCGCTCGCATGCAATTTTGAGTGGCGTGACTCGGAAAATTTTGGCTGTTTTCGGGGTTCAGGTTTTTTTCCAGATTATCTCATTTTGGGCTTATTTTTCTACCCCCGCTTTCCATTTTTGATTGGCAGGCAGGGCTCGGCACGAGTTGGCACCAGGAAATTTTCAAAACGAAGTCCCCCTTGAAATTTGCTAATTTTTACAAAGTCATCTTTGACCCCCAAAATCCCTGAAAATCCTTCAAAAAGCGAAACCGACTAAAAAAAAGTCGCAATTTGTCCGCAATTTATGACAAAAACGATATCCCCCTTTGCTTTTTGACCCAAAAACGATATCCAC